TCCTGATCTGAATACAAAGGAGGATCTAATGACCAAATCAAAGGATGGTTTATTATCTTGTGCTATGCAACTGATTTGTTGATTAATATCTAGTGTCTGACAACAAAAGCTGATTCTTAAATTACTCATTTTTGACAACTGTCATCCAGCACAGACATACTTGCAAATGTAGCTTCTTAAATTTAAATCTTTCTTCCTGTCAAATAAATCATGAATGTTGAAATTGAAGTCATAATAGCTCTGCAATGGCCATAGGTCCTTTGGGCATAAGCTTGTACATTGCTTCATCACAGGCTTATCCCGCTATATTATTCACCAACCATACTATTCTTTATGCTGCTCATATTTACCTGGGAGTCACAAATAACCAGTCACACTTATTTGTCTATTCAATCTGTTGGTAGTCAGACATTTTCCTCTTCTTCTGAAATGCCATTCTTTTGTGCTGCATAAATTATTTTATCTGCCACAAACTTGTTAAAACAGATGTGCTTTGCTCTTCTCAATCTCAAAGGGTTGTTATTTGAAAAAAGAACCATTTTCTCTGCATTTGTAGCTTCAATTTTTTCCCTGACACACCACATTATACATTTGATGTTATACATTTAATGTTAGCCGCTCTGAGCCCGGCTTCGGCTGGGGAGTGTGGGATATAAATATTATTATTATTATTATTATTATTATTATTATTATTATTATTATTATTATTATTATCCTTTTCTGTTTGTGCCTTTTGCTGTGTACTTGCCTACTATCGAATATTCTTTTCTCTGCCCTGAAACACCTTGGAGCACATCAGAATTGTTAGGATATTATTAGGATTACTTTCATTGTTGAAAGGGTTTCAGAGGGTATTAACGCCCCAACTCTGCTATGTGAATTAGTTGGCATTGCTGAATACATCATGGAACCTGAGTTTAAATCATGCACTCGGCTACCTAGTTCTAGCTTTTCCACTTTCTTATGAGGTGGCCAAAGTATTTGAGATTCAGCTTCAGGATCTGTCCTTCCAGTGAGCACTCAGGGCTGATTTCCTTAAGAATGGACAGGTTTGATCTTCTTGCAGTCCATGGGACTCTCAAGAGTCTCCTCCAGCACCATAATTCAGAAGCATCAATTGTTTGGCGATCAGCCTACTTTATGGTCCAGCTCTCACTTCCATACATCAGTACTGGGAAAACCATAGCTTTAACTATACGGACCTTTGTTGGCAAGGTGATGTTTCTGCTTTTTAAGATGCTATCTAGGTTTGTCATTGCTTTTCTCCCAAGAAGCAGGTGTCTTTTAATTTCGTAACTGCTGTCACCATCTGCAGTGATCATGGAGCCCAAGAAAGTAAAATCTCTCGGACTTCCGAGGGAGGCGCCTCCAGCAATGGCAGAATTCCTCTGACCGGGAGGAATCTGCTCCGTGGAAATCTGGGTCTGGCCACCACGGCGAAGGCAGAGACCCGTTAAAATCACAGGCAGGAGAAGCCTGTGAATGTGGGATTTGGCGGGCACCTTTTGTGCCTTCCCCACTCGTGGGGAACCCTGGTTTTTGGGGCTCCGGAGCGACGTGGGGTGAGCGGCGCGGTGCATCGAATCATCTGCTTCTTCCACGGAGCGAAGCCGCATAGCTGTTGCCGGAGAGCGCTGACCTTTTCCTGTGGACAATTTGACTTTAAAGTAATTACCCGTGAGTAGAGCTGAAACGGAAGAATTGGATCTCTACAAGTTTAATTTGGTATTGTAACGGGGAGGTTCAAAACAGGAAGTCCGCTTTCCCTTTTTGTAAATAGACTGAGGCAACGAAGTTGCAAGCTGGAGTCCTGGAAGGTCTTTTGTAAAAGATCAAATTTCCAACGGTAAAGAACATTAAACCCCCTCTTGGAGGCAGGAGAAGAGAGGGGGAAGTTGTGGATTGACTATGCCTGCAGGAGAGAGTGAAGAGGCTTAAAACACCGCCACTCTGACCCTGGAAATGGGCTGCTAGTAAGACTGATGGTTTTTGTTTGTTTGTTTGTTTGTTTTGGAATGTTCATTGACAGCGCTTAGAACGTTCTTTGACAGCTAGCTAAATAAGAGAAATACATTGTTTCTACTGTTTCCGGTTGTTTTTTAAAAAGGAGGAAAGTAACTGAAAATTGAAACTAACTTCGGATTATTGAAACTGTGTTTAAAAGATGACATATTGACCGATACAAATACAACCTGTTTTCCCCTAGTGGAAGCTTTTGAAATTGGTTACTTTATAGGAGCTGGGCTAGGAAATTTCCAGCTGCAAGATAAGAAAAGTGTGAGACTTTGGAATTGACCTTGAATCTCTTAAGTGTTATGGCAAACGGAAAGGAAAAAACAGACAGGATGTTGACAGAGGAGGCCTTAGTGGCTGCATTATTGAAAATAAACGATTCACTGAAACAACTCCATAAGAAAACAGATGTGATAAATGTGAAATTGGCTGTTGCAAATATTGAAACTGATTTAATTGTAGAAAGTTTAAATAATTTGGGACAAAAGGTGAATACCAATTCAGAAACCACCCAGAAACTGATACAGGAATCTACTCTGATACGGCAAACTGCAGATGAAGTCAGGGAAAGAACCCTTGCTGCTGAATCTAAAGTAATACAACTGGAGAGGAGAGTCCCATCCATACAAAGACAACTTGATGAACATAAGCTGACATTCGTTATGATTGAACTTAAAGAAGAACGGATGAATTTGAGGACCAGAGCCCTATCTGAATTGGAAAAGGAAAGCCTGACAGAGTTTCAGGAGGTGACAGGACTAACATTGGTTGAGAAAAAGAGGTATTTGGGGGTTAGTATGACCGCCAAAATTGTGAATCTGCTTAAGGACAACTGTGAAGGATGTTGGATTGAAGAGAAGGGGAATTTGGAAATATCGACAAATCAGAAGTTGTTACTGTTGGGCCGAGTTATTGTGGTGGGGATGAAGGCTGCTGTGTTGCTGGGGATGTTGCTTTTGTTTCAAACATTGCAAGCTCTGGATGGGATGGAGGGTCTCAGGAGGTGGCAGAGGGATGCTCCTAGAGTTGTTTGGCAGGGCAGGAAGCCTCGAGTTAAGCTTAAGATATTGATGGATGCTAAAGAAGGAGGTGGACCTGCCCTGCCAGACCTTTAAACTTTGTTGTGAACCATCTGCCTTTTGCTGGTTGAGAGAATGGTTGCTTCTTGAAAACACTGAAGTGTTGGACAATGGCAGACCAAGTTGATGGACTATAGGGAATTGGCAGAAATGACTGGCAAGATCCGAGACCAGGGTGAAGAATCGATGGAAGAAGATTGGAAAAAGTTTAAAGACTATTTATAGAAATATTGTAAAATTAAGGAATGTTAGAAAAATGTTGGAATGAAATTACATGGCTTTAGTAGAAATGTCATAAGGAATTAAGTATAAATAGATTAATAGAAAATTAAAGGAAAAGTATGGCAAGAATGTGTTAAGATAATTATAGAACAGAAAACAGAGTAAGATGGAAAGGAATTGCTGAAACAAATAATAGAAGTGGAATACAAAAAGGGAGGTCTGAGGAAGTCGCTGGAAATAAGTGAATGAAATATAAGATATTGAAAATGTTTGAGGTGTTTTTAAATTGTTTTTGTTTGTTTTTGCTTAATTTGATAGTCCATGTAGCGTTTTTGCATTGTATTCGTATTGTATTCCTGCAATGGACTCTTTCCAGTTTGCCACGCTCCACTGGGAGTCCAAATGAGCATCTCTTTTGATCCCCTTGCAGGAGGGTGTCCAGGATAGTGTGACCTTGTCCCCACCCTCCACAATCTAGGTCTCCCCACCACTTGTTATCTATAGATTAAATGTGTCTCTGTGTGTTTATTTTAGCAGTTCTCCCCTGCCTCTTATGTGCCAGAGGGACAACTGGAGTTGATCTAGGGCGAATTTCCTTCCACTATGACAAGTTCTGCCATGTCTAAAGAAGTCAGGAGACAGAGCTTCAGCTACAGAGAATCTGAGACATCCCAGATGAAGCGGGGAGAATCCTTCCACTCATCATGATAGTGGAAAAAGAGCTGCAGCAGGAGAAACTCCAGCCAGAGTCAAATAGGAGCTCATGCTGGACATGGTTTGCATTCCCCCCTCCCCAAAGGAGCTGACAGTGGCTTTGATACTAGAGAAGCTGCACTTCCCATCTGGTTACCTCTGCTCAAAGATGTTTTAGAATATATAGCAAAGCCTGCAAAATAGATGCAAAGCAAATGGGATGAGTGGGTGTACCATGAGCAGTTATCTCAAGTCAAAGGGCATTGGGCTCTCTGGAAGAAATGATCTTCCTTTCTCCATTACTTCCTTCATCTAACTATCATTGCCGTGATATTTCCCAACAGAAATGAAGAAGAAGGGGAAAAATCAGCACTCTTTCTCGCCAGCTCAAAAGCAACTAAGTCGTGAAACACCGTGAAGCGCAACAGATTTATCAGGGCACAATTATCTCAGTATTTTTAACCTAATGTTTTTGAAGGAAAATACAGATATTAATTGTATGTACAATGAAGAAATATACATATCTCGAAGTTCAACATGCTTTAAATGGCATTTTTTCTTACCATATTTATTCCCCCCTCCTAAGAACCCTCCCATTGTGGTGTATATATATATATATGTGTGTGTGTGTGTGTGTAAATAATGTTTCTGTGCCCTCTGTTAACTGTTCCTGAAACAAAATATTTCACTACTGAATTACACTTTTCTCCTCTATTTGTTTTAGCAGTCCCAATCAATTTTCCTATTAAATCAATATATGCAGGAAGTGCCAAAGAACCTGAATTTTAAGAGAAAGACATTCAGCTTTCCAAGTTAAAATAGCACAATTAAAAATAAAATTTAAACATTTAGACACTTCATAAAAGGTTTGAAAAGTAACCATCAGAAAAGGAGCAATAAACATGTTTTTAAATCTAAGAAGCTACATTTGCAAGGCAAGTATGTCTTTTTCATAAATGCTGTGCTGGACAACAGTTGTCGAAAATGAGTCATTTAAGAACCAGCTTTTGTTGTCAGATGCTCCTTTGTATTCAAATCAGGCCTGAGTACAATGATGTAGCACTTGGGAACAAAGATGCAGCCCAGAAGCCCAGCACTGGAAGCCAAGATAGAGAAGATCTGCACAGCCACCATGTATTTCCCCTTTGTGCTCAGATAGGAGGGCACAAAGGAGACCCAAACACTGCAGAAGACCAGCATGCTGAAGGTGATCAGCTTGGCTTCATTGAAGGCCCCAGGCAGTTTCCTGGCCAGAAAAGCCACTGTGAAGCAGATGGAGGCCAGGAAGCCCATGTAGCCGAGGGCAGCATAAAACATGGCAATAGACCCTTCATTGCATTGCAGGATGATCTCTCTGGGCTGGGAATGCATGTCAGACTCTGGGAAGGGAGGAGAGATTCCCAGCCAAATGGTGCAGATGACAACTTGGACAATGGAACAGGAAATGACAATGGAGTTGGCCAGACTCTTCCCCAGCCATCTCTTCACCCTGTTCCCTGGTTTTGTGGCCAGGAAGGCCAGCACCACAGTGATGGTTTTGGCCAAAACAGAAGAGATGGCAACTGAGAAGATGATGCTGAAGGCCATTTGTCGGAGAAGGCAGGTCACTTTCCTTGGCCTTCCAATGAAGAGGAAGGAGGACAAAAAGGAAAGCAGGAGGGAGCTGAGGAGGATATAGGAGAGGTTCCGGTTGTTGGCTTTGACTATGGGAGTTTCCCAGAATATAATGAATATTCCTAGCACAACACACGTGGTTAGGGATAAGAATAGGGCAAAGGAAGCTAGGAAGCTCCCCAAAGGTTCTTCGTAAGCCAGAAAAGTGATGATCTTGTACAAACATTGATCTCTGTTCTTGTTTGGATGCTGATCTTCTGGACACCTGGTGCAACGCTCTGCATCTGGAAAGAACACAAGGAATAACAACTTTACTGCTTTTCCTTAACAAAAAGTAATACCAAAGTGTTCCCCACTAAAAGAAAATATAAAAACTATTGTGTACAACCAGGGAGAGCAGGAAAATGACACTCAAAATGGACCTTGTTGGATTCAACTATATGAAACATTTGTGCCTGACAATAATCTGGGAGTTCATGGTGCCTCTTGTGCCAAGTTTGACTAACAGTCAAAGTAATGTCAAATTCCTGTATCTCTGGATTTTCTCCCTCTCTGTGTAGGCTTCTAATTGTCATTCAATGTGTCAATACAGCATGTATGAACACCCAGTGGGGAAGATGCCCAGTTGTGTTGTAGCAGTGCATCAGTTCTAGAACTCCCCTTTAATAAACCCCGGACACCCGAAAGGTCCTTTGTCCTCTTCCCCAAGGGCAGGTCTTTCTGCTGGTGTCACCCACCTTCCTGAGTGGCCATTGTTCCTTCCACACAGGGAACGCAGTCATAGCAGCAGAGCAGCATTCCTTCCTGAACTACCTTGAAGAATCCGGGCTGGCAACTTTCCACACACCTGGAAGTAGGCAGGGGCTAAGCATAAAGGGGCATCAAGGACAACGTGTTAAGGCTGATGTGTTAAGGATGATAACAATGTTTTGTTTAATTATCTTGAGCCATATTTATACACTACTTTATTGCAAAAAAACTTCTCATGAGAATGTTTCCATTTGATCCAAACCCTAGTTCCTTCTGCTTCTCTTTCCTTGTTGCTCAACTCTGTTTCAGTTTCCCCTCTTGTACATGATAAAGTGTCATAATCACTGCATTAATAAGACATAGCTACACTTTATTCATTTGAGATCCATAGTTAAATTTCCTAGAAGGGTTAAAGTTAGGAGTCCATCTCTTTTTGCAAACAAATTTATTGCACACTTTTCTGGAAGTTGTTCCATAGAACATGGATTTATAGGAGCATTTCAGGAAATATTGCCAGCACTGAGGCTGCTAAAAGCCACACTCTCTTACAGATTTTAAGTTTTTAGTGGTTAAAATATGACAGGGGAAGGGGGAAACCAGTGGCCACATCATCTAGTTACTAAAACACCCACCTTGAAATTACACTCCCATAGCAGCTGATTCATGCATATACAGAGTTTCACAGGGACCCACTGTTAGATTTTCAAGGAATGCAGGAAGCATTTGAAGGCAGTGCAACACAAAACATGGTGGCATGATTTGAACTTATCGGATGGGGAAATCTAATAAAATGAAACAAATTATTTCCCCCACCTTGTTGAGCCATTTGGGGCACACAGTGGCATTCTGGTCGATGGTGCACTTTAGGTCTAGGGATTTCTGTCTATTTATGATCCCAATGATCTCTCTAAGAAGGGACCGATTTGGAAACACCATCCAGTTCACAATGTCCAAGTCAGCTGCCAGTTCCCCGTTCTCATCCAAATACACTCCGTCCATTGAAGAATTGTAAAACTGGGCATGTCCCAGGAAAGAGTGGAGCTAGAATGGCAGAGAAAATGGCTGCATATAGAATAGGGGAAACAACACTGACTATTCAACTCTGCACATTTCATGCTTGGATCTGCTCTCATTTGGGATTGGCTACAGAGTGTCAGGGACTGGTTGGGCAGTTTGGTGGGAAGCACCAGCCAGGGAACCCCCAGCGGAGGAGGGCTCAGAGCCAGGGCATTGGTGGTGGGACACTGAGGAGAGCTCAGAGGAAGAAGATTGCAATGAGGGGCTGGATGCTGAAGGGGCAACAGGGTTTAGTGAGCAGGGAGAGTCAGTGATGGGGAGCACAGGAGAGGGGTCAAGAGGCTGCTGGAGAATCCAAGGACTCTTTCTCTCCTGCTGAGACAGGCTCCCCTCCTCCCTGGTCACCAAGAACATGCAGGAGAATGAAGAGGTTGGAACAGAGACCAGAGGTGCCTTAGAAAGGGCAGAAGGCAGGTCCCTTCAGTTCTGGCAACTGCCTTATAGGGGCCAGACTGATTGGGAGGTGTTGCTGAGTTGTATGCCGTTTTCTTGAATAAACTTCCGGCCTCTGCATATTAATGGAATCAGAATATAAATAAGCCAGAAATATGACAAATGTACACATGTATTAAACTCTATCGTAATGAGAACATGAGTTGCTCAGGCACTTAATACAGGCTCCAGCAACACACATAATCTTTGGACAAAGGATAGAGCTTAGTGGAGCTCAGTTGGTGCCTAAATATCACCCTAAACAGGAGGGAAGAAGGCTATGGGGGAGAGAGCCTGTGCAATGCCATCTTCCCTGCCCAAGGGAATTCTTCTGTAGGAGGTGGGGGGTCAAATGGGCCACTGCAAGGCAAAGAAGAGGTTCGGTCAGTTGTGGGAAGTGTTACCAGAGAGACTATCATCTGAGAGGAGATGAAAAGGATACAATTCAGGGCACTTCACAAAGGGGTTTGCAAAATCTCACCTCCCCACTACATTCCTCAAGTTCTCCAAGACTACCATTCTGGAATTGTACAATTGATTGTCACGTTTGGCAGAGATGTCAGTGATGGGAAAGGAAATACCTGCCATGGCTGTAGCCTTTGAACTTCCAGACTGTCCTTCAACCTCCACTTAGATCTAGAGGAATATGCAGCATTTAAGGAACGCGCCACAGCTTGGACAGTGTTGTAAATCCTGTAGCTGTTTAGAGATAAGAGTCTTTCCAGATATTCTTGGGGCAGCACCTCCAGTTCCTCTCTTTCTCTGCATCTTGTCCAGCTTTTCACTGACAATGTATTCTGTAAATGGGAACAATTAAAAGCTGTCTCCCAAAACTGCTTGCTTGCAAAGAAAAAGGCATCAAAATCGTCATATTTTGTCCATTTATTTGCCCCAATAGAGAAAGAAAGAATACTGTGGAAATGCTGGAAATCAAAACCATGGTTGATGACGCTGATGAAGTCTATACTCAAATCCCACATAGATGTTGTGATGAAGACTCTCCCTGCTGTGGGTTTGACCAGCTGGTCAAATATTATTTTTCCAAGTCGTATTCCCAGCGAGAAATAAGTCGTTTCTACATAATAAAAATATACATGGACTTGTCCCCACTTTTCAAATGGAGGAACACTGAACCTCACACTGTATGCATTAAGTTGTGGGATGCTTAGTGAGATGGCAACACAAATTCCACTCTCTAATAGCAGAGGTGTCAATGTGTTCATGAACCTCTCTCCGTTTTCAGTGTCTGGAGCAATGAGACCAATGAACGTCCATCTGAAGTGATGGAGCAGCTTGACAATCGCTGGGTATATGGCGTCTTCTTTGGGGACCGTCCGATAGAAAAAGGGGAACTGCCTCTTGTCATTCAGAGCATGGGAGCCAAAGGCGTAGTTGACCTGGCAAGAAAAGAAGGACTGTTGGTTTGCATTGTTTGGCATCAAAGCCGAAATAGTTATTTTCCCAAATAACATATATCTGTTTTGTAAAAACACGTGTGTTGTTGGTTTTTTGCCCAGACTTTTCTTGACATATAAGACTGGACCCCATTTTTATCTTTATGAATTCCCTCAGTTCCTGTTTTCATATTTTAAAATATGCTTTTATATTTCTAATTTACTGGTATTATACTGTACATTTGTTTCAACAATTTTGTTACTATTTTATGTTATGCAATGCTAAAATGTTATTTATTTATTGAATGCGTTATAACTGTTTTCAATGGAAAAACAAAATATCAGTTTCACTCAGGGAAATCTGTTCTACTTTATTCCATTTTTAGTGGCATGGCCACTAGTATGAGGGAAGTTCCCTTCCTCCTCATTTTATATGCACAGGCACACACATACACACACACACACACACACACAGAGAGAGAGAGAGAGAGAGAGAGAAATCAGCATTTGACACAAAGGGAAGGGAGGAAGGACAGGCAATATCCAAAAGAGCACAGCAATTCACCTGACCATTCCTTATCTCCTTTCTTCAATACCTTGACATCCTATGTCTTCCTCATTCTGAGTTGATACTACCCAACACTTTCATGGCTGAGAACCTCAGTCAGATGATCCCACCATCTCCATTCCTACCTGTGGCATTTTATAGATGCTCAACATGCTTGAAATCTGGATGGAGTTCTCAGAGTCAGAGTCAGCCCCTTCCAGAACTGCAATCAAGTTATTCTGTCCTCCACAGTTGTAGTTTGGAACATTCGCCTGTCTAGAAGAGACCAGGTCTACCAAAGCTTCATACGTTATCCTTCCATGAAAAAAGTTATTATAGATATTGTAGCCCAGAGTGATGTTGGGCAAGAGCCTGGGATCCTGGTTGATCTCTTGAATGGCAAAGAAGAAAGACAGGGGCAGCCAGTACCTTGTTCCTTCTTTCCTGAAAAAATGTACATATCATTTCCTCCAGCATTCAGTGAATATATCACTTCCAACTCTTTCTTTTTTTGGACAAGCTTCCAAGGATAATCTAAAGTCCTGGATTCAATTTCTAGAATTTAATCCTCCTAACACTGATCCAAGTTCAGATTTTGACAGCCAATCCCTACTTGATGATGCCTGACTGGTGGGAAAGCCTTGTTCAATCAAGACCCATTATCCCTTGGAAAACAAAACTAAAATAGAGTGAATTTTTCATGATGGAATTAGACGGGCACAGACTTTCAAATAACAATAAGAGACAAAAGGTTTTTAAAGGCTCATAAAATGACACAGAACATTTATTGCTCTCTCTCTCCCCGGTCTCCCCCAACCCTTTAATTTTTAAAATTATTTTTATTGATTTGTTTTTAAAAAGAAGTGCAAACAGTAAAAAAGAAAGAAAATAAAGATTTAATAATTTATAGCCTAAAGCATCACAGCCTGGAAGGTGTAAAGTACTCAGATACACCACAGTTCCAGAAGGATGATGGATAAAGATAAATATTGAATGAAGCAGCAATAACCAACTCGCCATAAATGGACTTACATGATAAAGTTGGTAGAGGGAGACTCATTGAAGTGCTGTGGATTAAATATCGCACCTGTGGCAGAGAAGACTCCATTAATGAGGTAGTCTCCTGGCCTGTAATAATTGAATGGCTCTAGCCAATCTCTCTCCAAAGTCAAGGGGCATTTTGCCTTCGCTCCACAGTCTGCATGAGGCAGGAAGAGCAGGAGAAGCAGTACCATTCTTTGCCTGCTTGGAACACCTTCCTTGTCTGTGACTGCTCCTCTGAACTAGAAGATAATTAGATAATGTTGATGGAATGCAACCAAGACTTCACACCTAGAAGGGTTAGAAATCAGCCTTGCACCCTTGTATTGCAACTCACCTGTCCTAAATCTGAACCCAAACTGTCAGTGGTACAGAAGGCCTTTATGCACCAATTCCTCTCTGCTCTAATGATATATCTTAATTGCCTTATGTTGTTGACAATTCAGATATCTCCCTGAGTGGACTCAAAGGTGATCTTTGGACAAATCTCTGGAGCTTTGTTGAGAAGAAGATGAAAGAAAAACCCCTCTATGATTTTGATGATTTTGATAATTATAAAGGGATGAAGCATGGCCTCTGAAATGTCCTGAACTCTTTACGTGGCTTCATGCGCAGGTGCAGGCTGAAGAAAAACATGTTTGCATAAACTCTGTCTGTCCTACACTTGGATTCTGGGAAGAAACAAAGAAGTTGGAGCACCCCAACTTAGAGGAACTAGACAAGCATATCCAAATTCACCCTTGCTTTTTCATATTTGCTTCTGCTATTAGACAACATAGGGAGATCTATGGAGTGGTCCACAATTCAGTTAAATATAAATTGATTTCATATGCAGATGATATTCTTCTGATGATTTCTAAACCTCATTTTACTATTTCCATGTTTGTGCAGATGATAGATGTCTTCACAATACTCTATTAACTGGTACAAATTGGGTTTGTTGCCTATAGGTGAAAATTTACTTACCCATTTATTTAAGGACTATCAGTTCCATATTTGTTCCAAATCTATTAAATATTTAAGTATGGTAATACGAAGAGATTTAACTCTCACTTTGTAACACGTAACATATATATATATATATATATATATATATAGAGAGAGAGAGAGAGAGAGAGAGAGAGAGAGAGAGAGAGATATTTTTTCAGACGTTATTAGCTGGGAGTCATTAAGCCTTACACTTTGGGCTAGAACATAAATTATACATCATAAACAGTTGATAAAGTCACATTCCCATATATCTTTTTAGGTTATCTGATATTAAACGACCACAGAAACCCATGTTGAATGTTCAGTGGGTATGGCCCAAGTATCAAAGTAGAAGAAGATGTATGGAAACCACTGTGGTTTTGATAATTGCAAAGGAAACAAACGGCAACTCTACAACATCCTCAAGAATTTATTGATATTCATGTGCAGGCGTAGTAGGGGGGGGATGTTTGTGAAAACTCCCAGTTTTCTAGCTTCCAACTCTGAGATGCCAGACCCTCCTCACTTGAACTGCTAGT